TGCTGCTAACAGGTGTGGCATTCTTTATATAAACATATTCATTGACCTGTCTCCATTGATTACCTTAATTAATTAATCTTGGTGGAAACAAAAACTAATTTTTTTCCAAATAAGAAAGAAGGCCACGCAAATACCCACTCTCCCCCAAACCCCAAAACTGTTTAAAGTTACCGGTAACCTGAAATGCACCAGCCATGACAAAGAGCAATTGGAGAAATCCAGCAGTGCTCAGCAGGAAAGATTTTTAATAACAGATTGAAAAACAAGAATAAAAATAACTGCATCAACAGAGCCTTCCTTCCTCGGGCCACAAGCCCGTTCTTACTTGAACTTTTTTCTTTTTCTAAAAAAAATGGCATTTTGGCCACTAAAACCAATCCAGAACATTATTAAAAGTTAAAAGCTACCAATTACTTCTGTCTGTTCTTTTAAAGCAAAGTTTGGCATTACGTCAGTTGGTTTAAAGAAAACAAGAAAGAGAGAAAGAGTAAGAGAGAAAGTTTCTATTTGTATAAACTAAACCACCAGGGAAGGTGTCTAGCCACTTGTAAAGTATTTACTGCAAGTTTTTAAAGAGCTAGAAACATTTTAAAAATTAAATGTTTTTTATTATTTTTTTCATGAAATGTACTTAAAAAACAACAAGGGTATCCTTAATGTCTGCTTTGGGGTATTTTAATGGTTTTTTTTTAAAAAATCTCAATTATAGCCTTGATTTAGAAAATGATTTCCAATCATGCTTCAAACTGGGATCTGCATAGATAATTTCATCTTTGTTTTTGCTACTTAGGTCTGCGCTTTTGAAAGCAAACAGTTGGGTAACAAAAAAGTAGACATGGCTACTGTAACAGTTACTAGAGCTGCAGTCACTAGTCAGACTTCATCTAAGGAACTCAGCAGAACTCAAACCATTTTCATCCACACATCCTTCTGCAAATTCAGGAAAAAAGCTTGCTTATACCCAAAGATCCTTTTCTAACCTGAAGCAAGTTCCTCATTACTACACCCATCAGAGAAACAAACACTGACAAATTCAGTTCTCAGACTTATCAGAGTCATTGAGTAATATGACAGCATAAGAAGTGACCATAATTATAACACTGAGAAAATTATTTACAAAGGTCATATATAATAGAATATTGTCCACCAATAAACAAATGGTTTGGACCCACTTCCATTCAAGGACAAATCCTTAAAAGTAGTTACCTCCCCTCTGAGCACTATTTGCTACCGAACAGTAGCATAAAACAATACTCGGTATTTTAGCATATTTACTTTAATTGTCTGCTTAATGTTCTTAGGAGACAAATGATTTTGACAATTATTTTTAAACTGTCCCAAGTTTTAAAACATAAATAATTATGAAGTGCTTTTTTATACATGGCCATTATAGGTGCCCTTAAAAATTAGATGAAATTTCTACTTGGCAAAGGCTACACAACAGAAGAGCATCTTCATGTCCCGTTCAGAGGGAGATCCTGAAATCCCATAAATCGTAGCTGTATAGTAACAAAAGAATTTACTTTTTCTATATTGAAAGACAGACTGAATTATCCCATAGATAAGTAACCAAAGTAAAACCAAATCGAGATGTGCTGGTGTTAATTTCCCTAAATTTTAATCACCAGTACATCAGGAAGATTAATGTGTAAACAAGACTCAGAACTAGTTATGCGTGGTAGTAGGAGTCCCTACCACCAAAAAAGGAAGAAAAAAAAAAACCTGTTACCTGAAAGCTTGACTCAGGATGAACGACGGAAAACAAGTCCATAAAACTTGACTGTTTTTATCAAACTGATTGCAACTTGTGAGCTGCAGTATTGGGGAGAGAACTGTCTGAGTTTATAGTTTTCTATGCCTGCCAGAAACAGATGCGGACTACCACACCAGCTCTCTTGCAGAAACTAAATTAAGCAAAGGCAAATACCAAGTGGAAAGTTGTCAGTCTCCTGAATGAAAGGCTTCATTTTACACACCAGAGAATATCTTCCTAAGAATGTTTTCATGTGAGCCAGTCATTTCAAGTGTATCGCTTATTACAAAAATAATAATATTTCCTTTAAATCAATTATAGACACCTGCCCATAAACTTTCCTGAAGTCTATTTTGTTTTACACACAATAGCACAGTGTTGTGACACTGTGCTATCAAAGAGAAGACTGAGGTAAAAACAAAAATAATTTTAAATATATGCGTTACTAAAAAACACTTTAAACACCAGTTATCAATATTCATCTCACTCTCAAACTCAGATTTCTAGTTCAAAAACAACTTGCTGCAATTTGCTGAGAAACTTTCAGTAATCTTTATGTACTTCAGTGAAGATGGTAAGACGAAAGTTTACTAAAACGTATGCCCTTTGACTTACTGCTAAGTAAAAAATACACAAATCATTATCTGAAAAGTGTTGCTCCTAGACTCCATTATAATAACAGTGAAAATAATAATAGAAGCAGCACTGAAATAGTAAGCTCTCTAAATCAGCTTTTCCACAGATCCCGTTCTTTCCATGTTTTGAAGGTTTTCCTAGGAATGAAGATTTCCTTATACGTATAGACCTATACTATGAAAATCCGAGCAAACTCTCGAATGATACATAATTTAAAAAGAAAAACAAAAATAATACCGAGAATATAGCAAGACATACGCCACTCACTTATGACTAGCACACTGATTTGGACCCCAAACTGTTTTCTAAGCAAGCAAAGAGAAATTTTTTTAGAAAATCATTTAAAATATTAGCCATCAAAATCCTGAGCTCAGACTTTACAGACGCTATGACACTTTCCTCCTTACCTTTACTGCTACCTTTAAGAGACAAAGGACAAATTATAAACAGCAGTTGAGATACTAACAGCATCTAAAATTCAGAGGCATGACAAACTTTCCAGAAGGCATTTGCTATATCCCACCATTTATTTGAAGTGTCAGACTTAGTTATTACGTGTGTAAAAGTATTCGACACACATACAATCTAACATATAACAGATACATCAGGAACCCATAAACATCAGCTCACTGCGGGTAAATTATACTTTGCCAACACAGTATTAATGAAGCTTCAGAATGCTCTGCCCTTGTAGAAATCAAATCAGCACGCTGGCACCCTAGCTCTGTTTCCTCTTTGGAGGTTTTATTTTCACATTATTAATATCCAGAAATAATCGTTCAGCTTTAGCACACTAGTGGCCCTGTCTATCTAACTGACTGGAGATGTTTTTATCAAAGAGAACAGCTTTAAAAGAAAGTTAGAAACTCTAGGGAAACATGAACGCTAAGAACTATATGTTTAACTTGTTAAGATTCAGCAGGTCATTAATAAACTTTCACTTAAAGGTAAAAAAAAAAAAACCCTCAAAACGTTGGTATCATTTCCAGACTGTCCCGTCAGCATCACAAGTTACAGGAAACACTTAACCTCGCATACAAACCCTGTATTTATTCACAGCCCAAGCATACTTAAGGAAAGGGGGGAAAAAAGAGAAAAATAAAGGCCGCACAATTATTTTAGGTCATCTGCTTTTTAACACCAGCCGGTGGAATAACTGAGAGGGCCTCCCAAGCAAATGAGCAACACGTTACCCACTTCTCTACAGCCGAGCTCAGAAACTTTCTGCCTCATTTTGTCCACGTCAAGAATTGGCTGCCCGCACTGCTTGCCTTGACTGTCCTGTCCCTCCCTGGCATTTGTGACTCGGGCATTCTTTTCTAAATGGTCAACTTTTCCTACAACCAGCGAGAAAGTAACGTGATGCCAAAGCGATCCATAGGGTCTAGCTTCAGAGCTGGAGGACACTGAAGAATCCCTGAAAGTTGCCTGTTTTATTTACGCTTTAAGCAATCCAATTTTAGGCAGCAACCAGGCCTACCATAATCATTTCTTTATAATTCTGTCTCAGGCCCTGTCTATATCCTGCCTGTCTCCTTCCTATCTCTCCCTGGCGCTTTCCGGTTCACCTGGTGCCTTTACAGAAGTTCGTGCATCTACAAAACTTCTATGGATCGGCCCGACTTGTCTCGCACTGAATTAATTCTCCGCTCAGCTGCTCGCCTTCACTTACCTTCCTTCAACTCTAGCCGAGATTTTCCAAAATAGGATAAGGATGAATATCCTAGCATAATTTTGATTCAACCTCAAGATGCATCGCTGTCGCTCAAAAAAAAAAAAAAAACTTTCAAAGTATCAGTGCTGAGGCCTAAAAAGAGGGGAAAGTAAAGCAGGTCCTACAATTTAGTAAGTCCGAGATTTCCCCCCTGCAACCCCACCAATCCTCCTCGCCCACTAACTTCAATTGCTTTAGAGTCCTAGGGCCATAAAACAGTGACTGGCTTCCCTTGGGAAAGGGGAAAACACCACCATCTCAGACAGGTACTAACAAAAAAAAAAGAGGGAGAGAAAGCGAAGAAAAAACGTTCCCAGCCACAAAAACAGCTTTGCACTTCAAACAGCCCCCACCTAGGCCTCACCCTCAAATTATTCATGGGGTCCTATAATCCTGGAGTTATTTGGAGGGACAGCGGTGTTTGCCTTGGCCTCTCGGAGAGTGTCTACAGCCCAAACAGGGACTGGAGGGAAGGCACAGAGCCTCTCCTCCTGGCTGTCCCACCGCTGTCCGGGGTTTAGTCACCGGCCAGGATCCCCGGGCCCACGCGACACATGGGCATCCACCGCGGCGCGGAGGACGTCTGCCCTTCTCTGCCCCTGCGGAAGCGCCCGGCTGCAAGGCCCTGCCACATGGCACGGGCAGGGCACCGACCCCTGAGCCACCGGGCTGCCCTGACCCGCTGGGAGGCGGGTATACCAGCGGATGCGACACCCTCCTCCTGCAGCCCAGCTGGGCCTTTAAGGGGAAAGAAAAAACACAAAAGTTTCAAGCCAGGCTTTGCAAACTCTTACAAACCAGAGCCAGTGCGGTGCAGTTTTCCGCACTTTGGGGACCCCACGCGGGGCCCTCCCTCTCGGGGGACCTTCCCGACCCTCCCAAGTTCGCCCGACTTACTACTCTGCATGCCGGTGCCCAGTGTGCTCCCCGCTTGTCAGGAGCCCCCAGAAAACTCGCGCGGCGGCGGCGGGTCCCCGGGCACCCCAGCTCCTGCCTGCGCCCGAGGGGGAATCGCACTGGCCGGCGCGCAGACAGCGCGGAGGGGGGCACCGGCCTGAAACTTCTTTTTTTGGCCAACGGGGATTTGTTTTTCCTCCTCCCCGGCGGCTGAACTTGACCCTCACTGACTCCAAGGGGCTACTGCAGCCAGTTGCAAGTCGCCGGTCTGCAAGGACTCCGATGCCTGGGACCTCAGCACCCCAACCCGGGCGCAGAGGAGCGGCTGAGGGGGTGGGACGCGGGGGACAGGGGCGCAGGGAAGAAAGAAAGAAATCACGCGCAAAAAAGGAAGAAAGAAAATGCATGTGAAACCCGAGAAGGCTGCGCTTGGCTTTCCGCACACACACGCGCGCGCGCAGACACACACACACACACACACACACACACACACACACACACACACTCCGTCTCCCTCTCTGTGCTCAGGGCTTGCTTTTTTTTTTTTTTTTTTTTTTCAAGAAAGTCACTTTTAATTCCCAGGGCTCCCCGCTCACCGCGATCGCCCACAATCTGCGCACACGCGCGGGCGCAGCGCCGGCGTCGCCCGGCCCGGGTCCCGGTACCGGTCCGGTCCCGACCCGGTCTCCCCTCCTTACCTGTTGATCAATCGTCGCGAACACCCTCGCCAGTGCGGAAGATGGTGGCGCGGCGGCCAGAGCCATGAACCGTCCTCTGTGGTCCGCGGAGTTGATCTTGGATTATTGGGGAGAAAAGGTCCTTTCCTGCCCCCCCCCGCCCTGCCCCCTCGGGGAAAAGAGAGCGCGAGAAAGGAAGGGAAACAGCGAGGACGAGCCGGGTCGGCGGGGGAGGCACGCGGGGGGGCTGGGTTTTGTTTTAAAAAAAAATAAATCGCAAGGCGAGAGCGCGATCGGAGAGGACGCGGGGTCTGCAGCCCAAAACGATCAGCGCCCCAAAACGAGGCGGCCGGCGCTGGCAGCGAGATCGGGGCTTTATCAGAAATGTTATCGCTTGTCAGGACCTCCGTCTCGGCGCATGACGTCAGTTTCAAGACACCAACACTATTAATATCAAAGGAGCCTTCG